CACCAGGCAGTTCTCCCCCGGGAAGTTCGCCACCAAGTAGCTCATCACCAAGGCACGTCACCACCAGGTCAAACACGAGGTACTTAGCCAAAAAATTTTACACATCCCAAAAAATGGTACGTGACCAAAAACGGTTACATCAAGTCTAATACAGAATTATAAGTTACTCAAGCTGTGCAAAGATCTTGATTCAGGACGAACCAAAAAGAATGGGAAATGCCTAACAAAGGGCAGTTTAAGTAGGAGAGAAATGGAGCTGGATTCTTTGAAGTGTGTTCTGTGTACATCAACAATAGAGACAGCAGATCATCCGTATATTCATTGCAAGGTAGCTAATCTAATCTGAGTGAAGTTGATGGCTATTTTGGAGTAAAATAATTCTTCCCATCTACAGTGGAAGCTCTCTCCCATAACTGCCATATGGAAAGGCTAAGCAGAAGAGGAATGATTATACGGGAGAGTGTGGAACCAGTATTTTGTGGAGTGTGGGGGGAGGGCAAGAGAATGCATTTATATTTGAAAATAAGAAAATGCACAAGGGAGCTTATAGTGAAAAAGAAAATAAAGCAGAATAGGTAAACTGCAAGATATACCTAGTTGGAGGAAACTATAAGTTGGAGAATTTGGGAATTTCCAAATTCCTAAAGCTTCTCATGAAACCAAGTTCCCAGGGAAATCTTTGTTTTGAAGAAGTAAACACAATGCAATAAAATTAGGTAATACAAACCATGCCCCTTTGGTACTTCTAGTTTGATAACCTGTGGATCTGAAAACAAAGTGGTAATTCATTTCAATGCATATTAAGTACTAATAGTGATAATGCTAGCATTATTTCTAATCATTTAAACTGAATGGAAAATGTTTTGTGCATGGAACTCATGATATCTCGTCATATATAAAACATGAGCCCTTGACAAAAAAGGGAAAAAAAGAAAGCTCCATTGCTTAGGAAGTATCTTTTCTCTTTTAAGAAATTCTCATAGAGATGGAGATCTAAACTTACAAGGTTTTTAGGTTTGTCATGTTCATGCTTCCAAGATATGAAGGCAATTCTCCAATAATGTTGCAACTCCTTAGAATCCTACAACAAGAAACTGGATTAACTTCGACTAAAACCACTATAGTAAGAGACAGGAATAATTCCTATGCAATGATATCAATAACCATTCAACTCACAGTGTCCTTATTTTTATCATTTTACTCAGTGGCGGAAAAGTTGCTTCTGTTCCATTTATGTCACTAATCCTTCTGCAAAGAATTTTCACCACAAAAGGACTCTTTAACTAAATATTATAAAATGTGTCCACTTGCTAGAAAATAAAATAAGGAGAAATGCATTTCAATTTTCACCACTTTTAGAAAATAAATTGGGAGGGATACTCAGTCCACCCCTCCCAAGTCTCCAGATAGTTGGGACCAACATTAGCCATTGGCCATTGACATTCCATTTTTTCACTGGCTATTATGAAAGCTTGCAGTAACAGGGCTTTTCTGCCAAGTATAAGGTTTGTCATGATAATCCAGACCATCCCATCTCTTAAGGGATTTTCTGGGAGTTACATGTCCATTTTTCATGATTAGCCCCAAACACCATGTCCTGATTTTTTTTTCTCTAACTAATAAACAGCTCTTGGAATTTTCAAATAAAGAAGGCTAAATTAAGTGCATTTTTGCCATGTGGCAAATGACAATAGGGATTAAAAGTTGCTACAAGGGTTGATATGGACAAGGTAATGAACTCATTACAGGTTGCCACCTTAGATTTCTCATGTAAGAATCCTGCAGAAGTAGGATTTGAAGCCTGTTTTGTCTAAAGACACCAAATAAAAAGAATATACACCAATTTCAGTTAATCATTACTCACATATCAGTTAAGTTTTCCAAAAGAGAAATGCTAGAAGGAATTGGCCCTTGCAAACCGCTTGCTTGTATGACACTGACATTGAGAAAAATTAGGTGTTAAAAACGAGTGAAAACTGAAAAGTGGAAATTCCAATTTTTACTGTCAGAAAGCGCTCAAAATTTGAAAGAAAACAAAATATAGCTCTTACAGTTTTTCCAATTGTGTCCAGTTTCCTATAAAATTCGGCATCTTTCCAGTAAATTGGTTATCGCTTATCCGACTGCATTATGCAAATAATTAATACAAACATGAACAAGACCGTAATTGTAACTGTAGACAGAAAACTGGAGAAGGTAAAGAATCTTACAAGTCCTTCAAGTTGGTCAGCTTAGCAAATGTCTCGGGCAACTGCCCTGTAAAATAATTCGAGGAAAGCAGACTAGAATAACAACAGAGGAAAAAGAAAAGACAGATTATTGAACCAAACAATCAACTCTTCCTACTATATCGAATTCTTCAAATATATATGTACTCAAGCAAAGCCCAGAGACCCAACAAAACGCAGAAATAATGCAAGAAAGAAAGGCCTTACATTCGCTCTATGCCGACCTGATTCCCAAGCTCTGGAGGAACAGTACCAGAAAGCTGATTGTACTCGACATTCCTGAAAATTCGAATTACTTCTTTAAACAAAGAGAATGGTAATGGGGATTGAGGAGTAAGAACTTACAGCATTCTGAGAGTTGTGATGTTTGCGAGTTCTTTTGGGATAGAACCCGATAACCGGTTTCCGACGAGAGAACTGCGGTGAGGTCCTTTGGTTAATATCAGATGAAAAAGAAAAACTTTGGCTCAGAAAGGAGCTGTGACTGTGAAGAAGAGGCATATAAAATGGACTACTTACATGTTCACCAACTGCGTAGAGCCCCATTCTGGAGGTATGGTGCCGTTAAGGTAGTTGCGCGGGAGGTCTCTGTGTGGAAGAACAATCATGAATGGTAGTTATTAGTTAAGTTTAGTTAATACAGTAAATGATTAAGTTGGGGAATTACCGAATTACGTATGTAATAATGTAAATGTTAAAATGAACCGTAGGATTACGATAGAAACGAGAAACCCTTACATTTGTTGGAGTTTCGGAAGTTTGACCAACTCTGGTGGGAGAACTCCCGAAAGGTTCTGAGCCCTCAGAATTCTGAAAATCCAAGGAAAATATATAATTGTTGCAGAGCAACCAGGAAAACAAAGATTGACTTGACTAAAAAATAGAATTCGTGGATGTCAATTAGGCATTTGGTATTGGTATGATTCTCGCTTAGGGTGCGAGAGGTCCCGAGTTCAATTCTCGGAATGCCCCTTAATATTTTCCTTAATTAATATAGAAAATCGGCGTCGACCGGTATACATATATTTTTATATATTTTATATATATTATATATATTATAAATTAATGAATATACATTATATATAAATATGTATTTATAATATATAATATATTATTTATTATTTAAAATATAATATTTTATATATTTTTAGCTTTTTATGATATATTTATATTTTTTATAATATATTGTAAATATAAAAAACCAAAAAATTGACAAATCGAACCAGTCAACTGGTTAGCTTTGGTTCGATTTGGATTATCGATTTTCCAAAAGCTGGTAATATCAATTCAGTTTCAAAAAATAGCCCTATCCCTCACATGCATTTCTATCAAAAAATAAATAAAGGGTTTTTAGCGGATAAGGGCAACTTTTTGTCCTAAATATCCATAAAAGATAATATTTTTATAAAATAATAAAAATAAAGTAACTTTTTTCGAAAAATATGAAGGAAGGGCAATGACACTATTCATCGTCTTCCTCTGCTGATTGTTTTGAAAAATATCACCGAAGCTTCAAATCCAATGTATTCGGATGAATACAGAGGTAGAAGATGATGAGCAGTTCCCCCTTCGTTCTTTGCTCTCTCGCACTAGGCAGCCATGGAGCTTAGACTCCTCGCAAAGAACAAGCAGGAAAACTGCCTCAAGATTGCTCGTGTTGGGACAGTAAGGCCTCTTATCTCTCTTATCTCCTCTTCCGATGCTCGGCTTCAGGAGCCTCTTCGGCACAGGCTTAACACCACGAAGCACCGGAACGGGCGATCTGGAGTCAAGCCGAGCGATGTGAACAAACTGGCCGAGCTGGATCTTATCACTGAAGATCAAATCGACGTCCTTGTCCGAGATTGAAACGTAAGCCAAATGCAACAAATCTGAAACCTTCAAGAAGAATCCTCTACTTTGCCACAGATCGTCTCCTCCAGCAAGGGAAGGCACGATCTCGATTACCTGCAAGAGCGTCGAGCAGTGCTCACCAACGACCTTCACCTCTTTGTTACTCGCGTGCTGTAAGAGCTTCAGCAACACGCCTGGTGTGAGCAATGCCATGAGAGACGGAGACCCGCTCGAGAAGTCGAAGCTCCATTTTTCCTCTTCAATCTTCCCCTCTGCAACAACATCGAATCCAAGGAAAAACGAAAAGAGAGAGGAAACCTCAATGTGCTCAGCTTCAAGAGAACGGTGTCGCGATTCTAAACCTCTCCTCAACTTCAAGACTGAAACAACAACCGTGAAGGAGAACGCCACTTGTGCCCTGCTCCACCTCTCGTATGAAGAATGTATTTAGATGAATAAGAGGCAGAGGAAGACGATGAACAATGTCTTGCCCTTTCTTGATATTTAAAAAAAAAAATTATCTTATTTTTGTTATTTTATAAATATATTATCTTTTATTGATATTCAGGACAAAAAGTTGCCCTAAAAATCCATAAATAAAATTCAAGGCTTCAGCTCGGGCCGGGTTATTGTGATCAAATACTTTGATGCCAATTAATCGAGAAAACTTTGGCCGTTGGGCTTAGGATTTAGGAACATTTTTTGGCATGAGACATCAACCTAATGTTTTAATAACTGACCCGGAGGCCCAACTATTTTTGCCTCTAATTCACGGGTCACGGATAAAAAGACAAAGGCATTAATGGGTTAACGTTATAACGTGTCATGCTGAGACAGTTCCAACACTGTTGGTCCCTCTTATCCTATCTGTCTTTTCGATCAAAAGAATATTGACCTCAATTATTCTTTTAATCCCCACCCGTGGCAGCTGGTGGCCCTCAACAAGCAAAATTAGGGTTGTATTTGTTATGATTTCTGTTTTCACATGAAACGTTTTAGGTTGATTAGTTTTACCTAAAATGTCAATTAAATGCCTACAATTATTTGAGAAAATACAGCTCATTTTCATTTTAGTCGGAATCAAAATTGAAATAGTCTATTTCCCTACCCGTTTGGTTCAGGCTTGAATTGAAATCAAAATCAGAATTGGTTGGAATGGATTCTCATTCCCAAGCATGGTTTTCGAGTTGTCATTGCCCAAATGATCAGACATTTGGCCCAAAAACCAATCAGGCAATTGGTCTCACTTCACCCCTAAACTGCTTTTTGGCCAAAACTGTTGACCTGGTCAATGACCCACTGACCTAGGCGGTTGAACCACTGACCATTCAACCTAAATAACAATTTTAGCCATTTTTTGTTTTCATTATTTTTTTTTTTACTTTTTATTTAGACTAGACAGTCAAACCATTAACTTGGAAACCAGTGACCAAAGCAATTCTAGTTCCAAGTTGGTTTCTAAAACATTACTCAAAAGGGAGGGGGAGGGAATTAGGGGTGTCCATAAAAACCGAAAAATCGAGTAACCGAACCGAAAAATGTGGTTAACCAATCTAATCAGTTCAGTATTTTTGAAAAACCAAAGGACCAGTTCAGTTTTCGGTTAACCTAGAAAATAACTAGCAATTAACCGAACCGACCAGTATATAGATTTATATGTATATTATATATACATTTTTAATATATGTCGCATATTTTCTATATATTATATATAAATATATATGCATTATATATATTAATATATACATATATTATATTTATAATAATTTATTTATAAATATATTATATATTTTTATAAAAATTATAATATATTATATATAATTTATTATTTATAATATAATATTATACATATATTTATATAATATATATTATAAATATAAAAAACAAAAAGTCTAAGAACCGAACCGGTCAAAAACCAAAACCGATCAACTGGTTAACCTGTGATATCAGTTAAGTTTCGGTTTAGAGAATTCGAAAAACCAATAAGACCAATTCATTTTGAAAATTTTGATTATGGTTCGGTTAACTGAACCGTGGACACCCCTAAAGGGAATGGCCATTCATTCAAATGGAGGAATATCATTCTACTAGAAATAAGAATTAGATTCCAATTCTAACCAACCAAATGATTGGAATCGGAGTAAGCCATTCCATTTGAACACAAACAGGCTCTTAATAAAACTTTTAAGGCCGTTTCATATGGTCATTAATTTTTTAATCCCATTTTTACCCCTACTTAAATAGGACTCTATGTAAATATGCGTTTTGTTTTTTGAGAACAGGGCCTATTTGTTTTGGTCTAAACCTTCAAATATAGTAAAACCCCCCGATCTCCATTGGATCTCTGCTACAAAGGACCTCTAAATAGTAAAACCTAGTCAATGGCAGGGCATGAAACACCCTGACATGTATCCATATCAGTATGCTGAGTAGAGGTTCAACCATGAATTCTGATCATAGATTTCATTGAAATGGCTTAAAGTATGGATGGCCTATCCCTCTTTTGAGGTGTTTGAGGTCAGAAAGGGATTTCAGTGTTAAGGTGAAGTTATTGTGGGAAACAAGAGGCTCTCAACAATCAGCATATGGACATCAACAAAAATGGAAGTTTGGGCCTTTGGGGTGAATGCTTGTAAGAGAAAGTTCTAATAAGGGAGTTGCAGATGAAAACATGGGGTGTGGGGATTTGTCTGGCCAGGAGAAGCTCCAAGTCTAAGATACAAGAGAAGGTTCTAATGAGGGAGTTATAGATGAAATTATGGGGTTTAGGGATTTGGCTGGCCAGGAGGAGCACTGAGTCTAAGACACAAGAGATTGGCAAGCATTGATGAAGTGGAAGGCGATTGTGGTGTTGAGACTATGTTAAGTAAAAGTTTCAGTGGTGTTTGCAGCATTGAAAAAGAAGAAGAAGAGAATGAACATGACATGTTTTGAAAATTTAACAAACAGTTCATGGTATTTTTTGTCTTTTAATTTTTTTTTTGAGAGAATTTTTCCCATCACCAGTTCCCATACAACCTAAGTTTAGATGAATCTTTCTTTGAATCTTAACAACCTGCTGTAGAATTTGTTTTGATTTGTCTTTTAAATTTTATCTCTTAACCTTTGAAAGGTCTACATATAAGTAGCTTTTGAAAATACATGATATATAGAAGTAGTTTCCTAAATGTACTATGTATATATAAGTAATAATCCCTTTTTGTCTCCATAGGGCTACACAACATAGGGTAGCTGATCCCCCAAACCATATTTCCCCAACCCCATACTTCTCACCAGTTTGTATTGATCGACCTGAAATATTTCATGTATAAACAAATGGTACTAAACACAACCCTAATCAAAAACACCCCCACCCCCACCCCCACCCCAAATAAAGAAATTGAGTTGGAACCATGCAAGCATAAATAATATATGATCTTTCATATGCTTATTATAAGGAAATTATTGTATAATATAACAAAAATCTCACACATTAACAGAGGAGTGAGGTGATAAATAGAGATGGCAATGGGGAGGGTTTTGTAAATTCTAGACTCGATTCATCTCCCAAGACCTCATAACCCCTACCCTCTCCAAAACCTATAGTGGGATGGATTTTCAGAATCCAAATCCTTCCCATGAAAATAAACCCTCCCCAACCCTACCTTCTGGCATTTGAGGATGGGTGGATTGAATTCCAAACCCACATCTAGTTTCCTACTTTTCACTGTTATATATAAGCAATAAATGTGTAAAATAACATGAGCCAACATCAGAACTTCCAATTATTTGATTAAAACATGTAGAAAAAACATAAACTATCAATTATCCTTTACATAAAATTCAAATTATTATTAAGTTTAACACCTAATACATAAGTTCATATTGCCTTCCAATGATATGCAGGTCAGGGAGGATTTGATTTAGCCTAATATGGCACCTTATACCCATATAGTAAAATCCCAAAACCTGTCCCTACCCAAAAATCCATTTTTCTATAAAAGAAAACCCACCCCATGTGGAAAGGTAGGCACAGATATATCCTTACACTACGGTTGGTTTGAAATAAAATAAAAAGTTATTGGTGATGTTTGGTTGTGTTTCAATTCCATTTTGAGGTTTGGATGTTGCTACATCAACGATTCATCAACATTTAGACCCCAGTGGTGAAAAAAAAAAAAAAACTGTTTGGTGTGGTTTGTTTATGGTATGACTGTTCATAAGAAGACCCAATCTGACCAAACCGACTAATTCGGACTGACCCAACCCGAGTCGGCCGGGTTTTCTTTAGTACCAGTCGGTTTCGGGTTATAAAAAATCACAAACCGATGATTCGGTTCGATTTTGGTTTTCATATTTGAAAACCGAAACCAACCTGAACCGAACCAGCTTAGTAGTTAGTTCCTAGTTAGTAGTTACAACCTACTTAGTTCCTACTTAACTAATTTGTCTTTATCCTAATTACAACCTAACTTTAAGTTAGGTTGTACAGCAACTAAGTCACCACTAAGTAGAGCCAAAACCGACCCAAACCAATCCAAATCGACTCAAACCGATTAGGTCGGTTTTGCTTAACATAGGATCGGTTTCGATTTCAATTTCATGTAACCTGACCCGTGAACTAGCCATGTCATTTGTTATTGCAGAGAACGCATAATTAACGATGGGTGTTATATAGCAGTTTTAAACTTTTAATGGTTGAAGAAGCATCTCAACCAAACACAGCCGTGTCAAACCACCCACCTTAACAAATGTCTGGTTCATTTTTTCAACCCTAGCCCCAATCCGAACTTCAGCCAGACCAAACCCAATCCGACCTTTTATCCGTTTAAGTTACATAGGGCTGCAAATAAGTTGGATGAGATTCGATTCGAATCCAATACTGATCCATTAAAAAGCGAATTTGGATATTCTTCTTAATCTTAACAAATTGGATCGGATTGAAAAAGCTGATCATTAACTTAATGAATCTAATTTGGATATTGGCTAATCTGATCCATTTGACCTGATCCAATCCGTTAATTATGAAATATTATATATTTATATATTATTTATATAATTATATATATTATGTGATATAAATATAATTCTAATCAAATCAGATTCGAATCAAATATCCAATAATACATTTGAATTCAAATTCAAATCATGTTTTTAAAAATCTGACATATCCGAATCTGATCCGATCCATTTACAGCCCTAAAATTACACCACTATGCCAATAAAATTAGAAGCCAATAAATCAGAAGCAGAACATTCGCATGGATTTTA